TCGTCCTGTATGAGGTACTAGATGATTCATTAAGGTATGGAATACTTAAATAAAACGAGAACAACTGCAACACAAATGTCACATGGTAGAGCTTTTTCTTGCTGTGAGGCTCTGCCATGCTTGTTCAAAACACTAGGAACGTTGAAATGGGAGCTGAGCGAGGGACCAGAGCTACACAAAGAAGTAGGGACGAGGAACAAGATGCTGAAATCTCTCGGTTCCAGGTGCCCTAAGGCCGCATGTGCCCATGCCTTGGCATGCCTCCTTTCTTTGTTGCCTGGCTTTCATCCATTATGATGATTTATCCCCACACTGTAATCCTCTTGAGGCTTGAGCTGCGTCGGCATGCTAGCAGGACATGGCCATGTTACCTCACTGCACTGTTGCTATCGCATTGGGGGTATGCTTTCCTTCAGATCTCAGCTCTAAAGACCAAATAGTCCATAGAGCAGCACCTGTTAGTGTTACATGCATTGGATGATAAGCTGAGATAAAGCCAATACGTAACATGCTTCCAGGAAAGATGATGCTGAGATACACCTTTTCTCTCCGTTCCATCTCCATGTGAACTCTTCTTTTGCCTTTGTCTGTTTTTTTTCTTCCTCGTATGAACCCTACCAGCCAGCCTTATCAATTTGGCACAGTATATATAATTTTTTGGACCACCAAATAAAGCCTCTTTTTTCCCTTTATATATTTCATAGCCTCCAAGGCTATAGCTTCTCATTTGGTTTTACTATTATACCATACATCTTTACATAGGTTTTGTTGAAGGGAGTGTACATCTTGACAGCGGTTTACAGAGGTTTTCTTCATCCACTGTTTTTCGTGTGTTTTGTTATACATTACTTATTCTCTATTAATACATGTCTAACAATTTCCTGTTGGTTGTTTTTTGAAAAAAGAAGGGAGAGGTAAAATACACCCACCCATATAGAGTTGTAATTTTTTTTTACGAAGATCCGTTCTTTTCCCAACATAACAGCACAATATTGTCAAGTGCAGGGTACTTGCCCGTACTGACCTGTTCAAAGTCAACAGACAGATTTTAATACGGTGTGGCTGGTTAAGGACGCTTGTCTGTATATAAATAAACCAACTTTGTTCTTAAAGTTAAATCTAGAACACAGGTCTAGGTCTATGGCCAGCTCATCTCATAGAGCTGCGGTATCGTTGTGTGTGTGGGGTAGGGGTTCGGGGGTTTTCTCGATCTGCGTGAGAAGATCTTCTTCTTAAGCCGGAATACCCGGAGCTGTCTAGCCACCACGGATCGAGTTTTTTTTTCTAAAAGTTAAATTATACATCTTGAAGCGGATTTCAAATCTCACAGTTAATTTATACATCTTGAAGCGGATTTCAAATCTCACCTTTTTCATGTGTTTTTTCGTTCAAAAAACCTTTTTCATGTGGTTAGACTTTACGGTGTACTTTCTCCGTCCCAAAGTATTTACACTTATATGACTTGAATATTGTCCCAACATAAAAGCTCACACAGACACAGAGGAGTGATATAGGGGTGGGAGATCCATCATATAGCAATACAGCTCTGGCCAGCCACAAGTCCATCAACATGAGACCAATAAGAAAATAAAGATAAAAGTCAACTTCGTTCCCTCGTCCAGGGGAGTCCACAAGCTGCCGCCCCACACGTTCAGTCGTTCGCTCTACCGTGCTTGGCTTCTGTCCTTTTTAATTTGTGCACTATAACTTCAATTAGGGCAGTACTAGCGCCCGCACATCCAGACTGACGCCCGCGCTCGTGGCTGCTGCACGCCCGCTCCGCTTCCCGTACCCGTAGCCGCGCAACGCTCCATCCCTCCGCTTTCCACACGCATGCACGGCGCCCCAGCAGCTGCAACAGACGGCTATGGCAGGTGAGTCACATTGCAACATGAACAACACCCGATCCACTTTTGAAACATCTAGATGAAACTTTTGCAACATGCGTCTGAAGAAAGATGAAACACTTGAAACATGCGTCTGAAACACTTGTGAAAACACCTAAAAACACTTGAAAAGTCATTGCAACACATATGCAACATCCTGACAAACACACTTGCAAACATATGTGTGAAACATACGCAACATACAAATAAAAACACTTGCAATATACGTCTGAAAAAACAGATGAAACATTTGAAATAGACGCTTGCAACATATGTGTATAGCCATTGCAACATTTGCAATATCCCGATCTACTGTGCAACATCTATATAAAACACTTGCAACATACCTCTGAAATATCTTCAACAATTGAAACATACATTTGCAACATAGGGGGGGGAGAGAACGAGGCCGGTCGATTCCGGCCATCAGGGTGGGAGCCGGCGGCATGCGAGCACCACTAGCACCGACCGCGCTTGTGGGTGCCCCTTGGCTCGGCTGGAGACGACCTAAGGCGTCCTAACACCTACGACCAGCCGCCATCCGCAGGGGCAGCAGCGGCGACACATCCTGAGCACTGGGTTGGGGAAGAGGCCGGGGAGACACTGCGCGAACTGAGGGAGGAGACGTCATGTTTGGCTTGGGTGGAGGAAGGAAGCAACGGTGGCGGTGCGGGGCTCTGCTGCTGCCAGCGGACAAGAGAGAGAGAGAGACTTGGAGATGGGGTGGGCGAGACGGAGCGGAGAGATAGAGAGACGGGCGAGGCGGAGTGGAAGCCGCGTCCGAACCAACGCAAGTGCACGGACGCCCGCGTAGAGAGAGAGAGAGAGAGAGAGAGACTTGGAGATGGGGTGGGCGAGACGGAGCGGAGAGATAGAGAGATGGGCGAGGTGGAGTGGAAGCCGTGTCCGAACCGACACGAGCGCACGGACGCCCGCGTCCAAGTATTTACGCTTCAATTATCACCACTGAGAAAACTGTGATGGATAGTGTGGACGTCACACCCTTTTATAAGTGTAGCAGTATAATTTCGCAGCTACACTAATACGCTCAACATCAATCTATACGTGCAGATATTTTGGAACGAAGAGAGTACATGAATAATCTACTGTGCCAAATCCTATATGTGTATAGGAAAGAAGACGTTGAGGGTTCGTCTGGAAGGCAAGAGAATCTCTTTCAATTCTATCTTCATGCGACATCTTGTTTTACATGCATGCTTGTGTTTCTTTCAACTCGGTCTTATTAATTTTCACTGGTACAATTTTGGACAACGAAAGCCTCTTTCCAATGCAACAACACATATTATCTAGGTTTAGATTAGGTAGGTAGGTAGGTTAGGGAATTTACTTGAACCCTCTTGATAGTTCCTAGCAACTCAACGACAGAAGCATATTCTCTCCACAGTAAATTAGGTCCACCTACACTGACCAAACTATACTCTGCGGCAGAAGCCTCATCTCATAACAACATGGTCAAGTGCACGGCTCTCACCCATACTCTTCAAATAAACAGATATTCATACTATGTGGTTTGTTGGAAGATGGTCCACTTTTATCTTGTACATTATTTTATACTTAAAAGAATGTGACAATAATTATGCTACAACTACACCGACACTCACTACAGCCTACAACACTAATAACTGGCACTTTCTTCAACCTTTTATTGGAACAAATTCATTTTTATGTGTTGAGTTTAGATTTTTGAAAATGATATGAATACATTTGTATGAAAATATATAACGAATTGCACATAGTTCTCTTGTGGTGGAACTTATCTAGCTTGTGTTTTCCTAAATTTATTTGAAGACTCAACGACGTTATTATTTTGGTGGTGGATGACGTGACCGTTTGCATTCGTAGTGGTGAGAGTACATGCATATACGTATGTGAGCTCTAAATTATGTTTCGCAAAACATATATTCTTTCTCCTACCAAACCTGCCTATCAGCTTTACTATAAACTTTTACAGAGACAATTTCGGACCACCAAAAGGCCTATATTTCCATATGTTGACTTCCAATGCAATAGTGTCTCATTTGGTTTTACTTATTAGATGCTTTCTTCATAGGGAAAAGGAGGGACATAGGATTATATATAGTTTTTCACCAACACAACTTAAGATTAAATGGGTAATTAGTTTGGAACTTACTTGAACCCTCTTGGTAGCTTCTAGTATCTTAGGCAGTTGCACAACATTACAACATATAGTCAAGTGCACGGCTCCTGCCCATACTCATCTATATATTCAAGTCAACACATATTTCAATACTGGAGTATGCCATTCGTTGGACGACACTTGACATTTTTCTTGTACATATGAGTATACACCCAAAGATTGTGACAATGAAATAAGAATGATCATGCTACACTGATACTCCCTCTCCAGGCATTAATAAGTGAGGTTTTGAGATTGTATGAAGTTAATCATTCCAATCATCGTCATTAAAAACAAACATTGTTACACACCGAGTTTTGTTGGATAATTGAAAATAATAATTGTATAGAAAATAGTCTCATATAGAATAGTATATTTTCTGTGTTATAAACATATTATATAACAAATAATTAAGTGCATAACTAGAAGACAAAGTTGTGTTTGGGACACCACGCGTGGATGTTTATAAAACAGGTCTCAAGACATCAGTTAGTTGTGACTTGTGAGTAGAGGGACAAAGCACAAAACTCATGTTTATTTTCCTTCTAAAACACACTTTACATATATATAGTACGAACACTCAACATTCTGCTGAACTGAAGCACTACACATATGTTCAGTAAAGTAGCTAATAACTCATATATATAGTGCAATGAAATCTTCTAATTAGATCCAACGCTGGAGTACGTAGAGGTCATGAAGCAAGTGGATTACTACTAGTAGTCTTTGCTACCAAAACAAAATCAAGAGACGACATACGCTGTCATCACACGTGGGATCGATGAAGTTATTAGCTAGACAAGTTGTTACACGTTGTTATACATTTAATATATGTATATATAATATATTCGTGGGACATGAAAGAATTTTCTCAAGACAAGAAGGTGAATAATGCATGGTGACATCGGTGTGACCGAGACTTCATCGTCGACGATGCATTGGAACGCGCGCCTCAGCTAGCTGCTGTTAGAGAGCAGCGCGATGATGTCGAGCGCGACGGAGCAGAGCTGTTTCAGCGTCTCCTCCCTGGAGGCGAGCTCCGCGGGGTACTGGCCGGGCCGCTGCCGCCGGAACAGCGTGCGGCACACCTGCGGGTACTCGGCAGCGGCGCTGACGTGCACGGACGCAAAGTCATAGTCCTCGAGCGCGATGGAGTCCCCAGCTGCAGCCAGCGCGTCGCGGGCGCTGGCGTACCTGGCGGCGCAGGCGTGGAGCAGCGCCTGCACGGTGCCGTCCGTGGAAGTAGCGCTGCCTGCCGGGGCGGTGCCGTTCGCCGCCAGCGCCGCAGCTGTGGCCGCGCCGCCCGAGGCGTTGGCGGCCGCGACGGAGACCGCGATGGCCGACAGGCCCCGCACGTCGGCCGTCGCGCTGGACGGGTCCGCGCCCAGCGCGGACACGCATAGGTTGTAGTACGCCGTGGAGTTGCAGGTGGCGCGCACCAGCGCGGCGGCGGCCGGCGCTGGCGGGGAAGCAGAAGGTGGTGAGGACGGAGGAGGCGGCGGCGGGTGCTTGGCCGACGGCGACGACTTGTGGCCGTGGCCGTGGCTTTTGTGCGCGGATGATGGGCCGGCTCGGGAGGAGAGTGCGGCGAGAGGGAGGACAGCCAGGAGGAGGAGCACAAGGATGTTCTTGGTGGTGGTTGCTGCTGCCATTACTGCTTGCCAAGAAAGTAGATAGAGAGATGAGCTAGCTCAGCTTGTGTTTAGCTTGTTGCCGTCGCTTGACTTTGGCTATGTGATCGACGATGAGCTTGTGGAGGGAGGATGCAAGCGAGTGATGGCGTTTTGTAGGAGGAGAGCTACGACTGCCTACTAGCGGAGGAGTCCACCACCACGTATGACCACCGTGCCGCGTATGCTCGTTTCTTCCGGACAGCATTTGTTCAGTGCTTAGCTAGCTACCATAGGCTGTTACACACTTACGCTAGGTTGTTAGGCAAACATCAACCTAGATAGGTTCTCTGTCTCGTTGCTGGACTTTGGCAATGGGAATGAAGTTTCTTCTAGTCAAGATGATCCCGCGTCTTACGGTATATATATATTTTTTCAACTAAGTTAGGCCTGTTTGGTTTCAAATAAGTCACGTACTTATAAGTTAAAAAAAGTGAAAAAAAGTGACTTATTTTGTCAAACACCACCAACTTATAAGTCACCCCTACTTATAAGTTTTAAGTTGGTTCACCCCTGCTTAAAACTTATAAGTCACCTTTTCGCGTGGGGCCCACACCTTTTTAATGAGCTTATAAGTCATCTACAACCAAACAGGCATGACTTATAAGTCACTGGTTTTCAGTCACCTGACTTATAGAAACCAAACAGGGCCTTACCTATTAAAGAAGTGAATTGCCCACATTTCTATTTTTAGTTAATAAACTGGTTAGCTACTGCATGCCAGTCAAGAGGTCTTAAGTTCGAATCTAGGCAGGGCAGACAATTAAGTAGAATAATTCCAGCGACTCCCCTAAATTTCCATGTTTGGAACTTGAGAGTCTGCACGTGAGTGTGGGTGGTGAAGTATAAATGCATATTTCTTCATTAGTTTAAGCTGGTCCATTCGCCCCAAAACAAATACACATCTTATTTTTCAAAGAGCCAAAGTTTTTAAAGTCCGCACAAAAATATATAACAAAAAAGTAGTTATGTTTTATGATGTGTAATAAATATCAATAGACTAGTGGTGGCATATATATTTTTCATATAAATTTGTTTAAATATACAAATGTTGACACTAGTTGCTGTAAAGTTAGTCAAATTTAGAAATGTTTGATCTTTTGAGAAACGAGATGTGCAATTATTTGGGAACGGATTGAGTGCGTGTGTCTCCAAGATTTGTGTAGATTTGGAATTTTATAAGACAATGGACTCTTATTTTTGTAATTTTATAAGATGATGAATGATAAGAGATGAAAGGGGGCGAAGTGATAAAATAATAAGAATCTAATTAAGTTATGGCCATAAATAAATACCACAGGTTGTTTACTTGGAGATTGGAGTGTGCACTAACAACGGCACTGAAAAGACTAGCTAACTTTTGGAAAGCAGCAAGGTCAAGTTGCTCTCGACAAGTAGACATCATTGGTCCTTTCTTATTTTAATTAACTCCCTTCGTTCGGCTGTTTTAGGTTTTTTTTCCCTCAATCAAACTATCTGACTAAATTTATAGAAAAAATTATTGATATTTATACCACCAAATAAGTATGCTAGGAAAATACATTCCATAACGAATTAAATGATAATTATTTATTAATATAAATATTAGTATCCTTTTGTGTAAACTTGTCAAAAATTTAGATAACTTGATTTAGGATAAAACTTAAACATCTAAGTATTTCTCATTAGTTTAATTCCTTGAGTAGTTCCTGGCCGTGTTTCTCGTGTGGATGCCTCCTATATATGTGTTGCGCTGTTGGCACGTTAATTAATAAACTATATATATTGCCACCCTTCTTACAATTCAAATTCTTGGTGCTTAGTCCACGACATAGGCTATTTGCGTGTGCTCTGACCACTGAGTATATATTGAACTGAAGTCGCTGCTGCACACAAAATTTGTTTGCTCCTGTTTGTTCTTTTCTGCTTGACCGGCCGGATCGATCGGGGCGTACGCGCTGACGCCGGACGACTATTTGTATGCCCCTGAATTGGCCAGCCTAGCTGGTTTCCTGCCTGCTTCACTCCACTCACTGCATAGTCGTTTCAAAGTCGTTTCAAGCTAGTGTGCTTCCTCGACTGTTGCATGCATGCTTTTGCTTGCTTTCCATCAGCGGCAGTGTGCAAACGCAACGCCAATGCGGCAATGCGTACTACGACGACGTCGACGAGAAACATATTTCGATCTCTCGGTCGTAAAAGTCTAGTAAATAAAATTAGGTAGGATTCCTCTCAAATCAGATCCTATCTGTAACATGTCAACGCTCCAGCAAGTCTAGAGGATATTTATGCCTTTTTAACCCCCCCTATATATAATTATGAACAAAATTGTGATGTATTTTTCTAACATATATACGTTTTGATGTCACCCTTCACATCCCATGAATTCTGAATTTAAAACCCAACATGTACATGGATAAATATAAAAGCAAAATCTTATTAAGAGGTAGATTGGACTAAAAGTTGCTTTGGGTGTGAATTGAATGCAAAATTATTTCAGGGCTCATCTGGACAACGTTTTACCAAGGATTGGACTTTCTCTAAAGTTTAAAAAATAGACCCACCATTCGTCTCTATCACTGTATCGTCCGCTAAGCCTTGAGCCACTACCGGAAACGTCAAATTTGCCTAGTGTTTTTGTGTTTGCCGAGTGTATTCTCTCGGGCACTCGGCAAACAAGTTCTTTGCCGAGTGCTGCCATAAAAACACTCGGCAAAAAAAAAATACTTGGTAAATAGGTGGTTTGCTGAGTGTCAAAAAAAAACACTTGGCAAAAATGTGGTTTGCCGAGTGTTTTTTTACACTCGGCAAAAAAAAAATTCTGGGAAAGAAAGAGAAGATCCGGCCTCCACCAGATCCCTCCTCCCTCGCCGGGGCACCTCCCTCCCTCCTCCACCGCCTCCACCAGACCCGGCCCCGGCGCGGGCGGATCCGGCGACGGTGGCGCATGGGGAGGCCGGTTCCGGCCCCGGCGCGGCCGCCCCCTCCTCTCCCTCTCTTCCCACCACCGGCGCCCCTCCCCCTCCTCTCTCTTCCCCGGCGACGGATCTGGCGCGCCGCCCCTCCCTCTCTTCTCTCTTCCCACCGCTGCTCCCTCCCCTCCTCCTCTTTCTTCCCCGGCGGCGGATCCGGCGCGGCCGCCCCCTCCTCTCTCTTCCCCGACGTCGGATCCGGCGCGACCGCCCCCTCCTCTCTCTTCCCTGGCAACGATTCCGGCGCGGCCGCCCCCTCCTCTCCCTATCTTCCCACCGCCGGCGCCCCTCCCCCTCCTCTCCCTCCTCTCTCTTCCCCGGCGGCGGATCCGGCCCGGCCGCACCCTCCTCTCCCTCTCTTCCCCGGATCCGGCGGCCGCGCCCTCCTCTCCCTCTCTTCCTCGGCGTGGCGGGTGCTGGCGTGGTGGTGGTGGGTGGCGGTGGCGTGGTGGTGCTGGCCGGTGGTGGCTCATGGTGGCGGCCGTGAAGCCGGGGAGCGGGGGCGAGACACAGGGGAAGGGCGCCGCCGCGGAGACCGACGGCGGCCGGCGGAGACCGGCCGGTGGTGGCTTTTTTTTCGAAAAAAATGTTTGTGGTGGCTTTTTTTTATTTTTTTAAAAAATGTTTGCTGAGTGTATTTTGGGCACTCGGCGAAGTCTTTGCCGAGTGTAACAGAACCGACCAAATTATAAGAACGTAAGTACAAAAACAATCACCGAAGCGATCAATTTCCTGTACTTAAGCTCCCATAATCCCGGTAGTCCGGAAATCACGAAGGATTTCAACCAACTCTCGACATACAAACCAAGATCGTAATGATTCAACACAACACATCATTCGTTACAACATTTCACAAGTAGCATTGGATTACATCCATCGAGTTCAAATAAAATATTACAAACCAAGTTTGAGTGTGCGGAAGCAACATAGTTTAGTACATAACTTCATAGTTTCAATTACATTGCGGATCGTAGAGTCATGTCCCACAAAAGTATTATCGGTGCGAGAACTAGTAGAGACCAGCATACCAACGGTCTAGTCTTCATCCCAAAGGGGAGAAGGCGTGACTTGCAACAACCAAAGAAGAACCGGTCATCTCGCAGCGGTGGGGAAATAAACCCCGAGTACGAGAAGGTACTCAAATAGACTTACTCGACAAAAATCAGAAATAAAAGACACCAAGGATCATGCAAGGCTTTTTCGGTGGGCTAGCTTGACACATTTGCATAAAAGAGCTTATGAGCATAGTAACCAATTTAAACTTAGCATCAAGCTTATCATCATTTACATCCACTAGATTAGCACCTGTACTAGAGCACTCACTTATTAGGAGCAAACAATATTAACCATAGCAGGTATAATAAGGCTGTCATCATCATATCATCATTTCCGAACCATTAAGTTATTAAGTGTATCTACATTGGAGATAAGCCCGTCAAGTTCTCACTAATCGGGAGAGCGGCGATTCGAATCGAATTACAACTCAGGTGAGGGGTATTCCTAACTCTCACCCCCGGCATACTTTGCAAGGGTAGCCATGGGTCACCTTTGGAACATCTCAGGGAACCAAATTGCGGGTTCGATCAGCGCCAAAGACTCTCGAGGATTACCCTTCGCCAGACGATCGGGACTTTTAAATCACCTTGCCTTGGACTCACGCCTCGGCTCCCTTCCGAGGCGCACTTTATACTTATCGACTCCCGGCCTGAGGTGAGCTACTCGGCTTCGTGGTCGGTCTCCAGACCAGGTCAACTAAGAGAGAGGCATGCGTTCAACATGAACAGGAAAGGCTCTAAGAATCAGTCCTTAAGCGACACAGACGGAGTCACTGCAAACCGGCAAGCCTCCGTCCGGTCTTCATTTTAAATTAAGACTGGTTCTTTTCCACGATAGCAATTATAGCCAACCGTGCCACATGTATCTTCCTATATCTCGCAGGTGACAGGAAATCACCCGACTTCTACCGCGTTTAAGCAGGGCTAAGCACTACTCGAGCCTGAGCTACATAGGATTCAGGGTAACAATATCTGG